GGCTAGCTCCTCTGAGACCTGACAGACAGGCAGCATGATTACTTTAAGACATGATGCACAGGGGGGCTCATGATAGGAATGTGAACTGTCACAGGACAATCCAGGACAATCAAGGGTCATCAAAATAATCATTGATAAAGGCATCGTCTACCTTTGCTCGTTTGGCACCTCCAGATCACGCCAAGTCACTCGTTCCACACATTCGTTCTTTCCTTCGTTCGACATTCACTCTTTTGAAATCCCCAGACGGCATTATGGTTGTCTCCACGGCTCACGTTTTCACTGCACTCCTCGCAGCTAGTTCTGCCCTGGCCCTCCCAGCGGCTGAAAAGCGCCAGAGCCAGTGCACCCAGCCGACGCAGCGACGCGCTTGGTGAGCGATGCAATGTGCGGACCAGTTGGCAGTCTCAAAAGCTAATGTTCTCCAGGCACACGCTCGCCGATGAGGAGAAAAAGGCCTACATCGACGCAGAGTTGTGTCTGATGGGCAAGGAGGCTACCCTTGGTCTCCGTGGTGCCGTCACCAAGTTTGACGAGCTCCAGAGCGTTCACGTTGCCCAGGCCGAGCTCACTCACAGCGTTGTAAGTTGCAGTACTCCAGCCGCAGCCTAACAGTATCTTACATCTCCAGGGTGCTTTCCTGCCATTCCACCGCCTGCTCATGCGGACTCATGAGTACCTCCTTGAGACGGAGTGTGGTTACACTGGTGGTCAGCCGTGAGTCTTCATATTTGCCTTCAGTCTCAGACGTGCGTTAACAGAAATGCTAGATACTGGCAGGAGCAGCTAGACGCTGGCAACTTCAAGAACTCCGTTCTTCTCGACCCCCAGACCGGCTTCGGTGGCGATGGCGACGATCGTGACTGCGTCACGGACGGGCCATTCGCCAACTACGTCAACCGCGTTGGCCCCGGCTACACCGTCCAGGATAGCTGCATCGTCCGCCGCATCGATGACTCTCAGTCGGCCATGTCCGCCCAGGAAAATGTCGACGTCTGCCTGTCGCAGCCTTCCTGGGCGACCGCCTGGCCGTGCATCGAGAACGAGCCGCACCGCGGCGGTCACAACGGTGTGGGTGGACAGATGTCGAACCCCATCTCTAGCCCAGGCGACCCTCTCTTCTATCTTCATCACACGTGGCTTGACAAGGTTTGGTGGGATTGGCAGAAGCAGGACCTTCCCAACCGCCTCTCCGATATGGGCGGACGCAACCTCCAAGGCGGTAATGAGGATGGCCCTGGTCCTTGTAACGGAGAGCGCCTGTTTGGACCCCTTCCTGATGATCTCCCGTACGTCATGCCCCTTCCCCACTCGTCCACCGCGTCGCTAATGAAAAAAAACAGTGCACCTAGCATTGAGGGCGATTCCGGATGTGGCACAACGCTCCAGCACAATCTCGTGATGTATGGCATCGTCGCGGACCGCTCCGTTGGGGACATGATGGACATTCAGGGCGAGCACCTTTGCTACGAATACGTGGATCCCCAGTAATAACAGCGGCTGATCTGTTGCTGATCTGTATCTTGTGTCGTCACCCTTTACACGTATTTTACAGCCAAAACAATGACCCCATTGGGCCATTAGGGTTAGAGGAAATTCAAACTTGGCTCCCTTGCGTCCCCACCATGCCCATGTCACCCTCTGTTTCACCGTGCACCCTTACAATGCTGACCCAAGAATTCCGTCATTATTTCTCCAGTACACAGCATTTTTACATTGTCCATTCAGCGGATGTGTCTGCGAGCGCGGCCACCTCGATCAGAAAAGTTGATCGAACGTGCATTCTGTAGAGTGCATAGGAATCTGTTTTGAACGGTAATGATCAGGCCTCCAGCACTTCTCTTCTCAAACCGCCCGGGGAGTCGATGGCATCGTGTCCAAACAAACCCTTTGAGACATCAGCCCTGGATCAGACACAGGGCTGCGACACCGACAGGTCAGCTGCATGCGCGTGCCAGAGCTTCGACAGGTTTAACATTCCTACTACCGGCGTCCGTGCCGAAGCATGCACTTCCAATCGCCAGCTCAAGGGAGACGGTTGTCCCTAAATGCAGCTGGGACTGCACACGGTCAACCTTTCTGAGCCGACTAACGCCCAATCACCTCGTGTGCACTCGAATCTCACGGCATGGTACCCGGGTGCTCACCTCGATCAAGTCCTGTTTACGGGCTGAAAGCATCAGTTTACATGCACCACATGTCCCGTTGGCCCGATCGAGAGTTGCACCGTCCCGGCCTACGAGCGTCAGTCTACTTGCGTCGAGCTTAATGTTACCTATCCCGTAATGGCAGTCACGCAAGTTCTTCTCCAGGATCAGACATGCAACGGCTTGAGAAATTCATGCAACACTCGCCAAATTATTTTGACAGTACACAATCGCAAATGGGCGGAAACGTGACACTTTCTCGCACAAATTTCATGACATCTAGTACAACCCTTCGTCGCACTCAGTTTGTCGCCGATCATAGAAGGTAGACCGTGGTCCATAATCCAAAGCTCCTTGGATACAGCTTCTCGTCGTCAGGTGGCTCGGGTGCCGCAAAAATGGAAAGCAAAAAGAAAATCTCATTCTTCTTTTTAAAAACTGAATCTTGCGAAAATCAGAACCTAAACGCCAGGCCCCTGCGTCGATTTTGAGGCTCTGTGTCTATACACGGCTCTGCATTGCAACACACGACAGTTGACAACGTCTATAGCCCAGTCGTCTTCAAGAGATTTGGTCCTTTTGGGTTCTTGTCATAGCTCAACCAAGCTGATGCCCAATTCTTCCACCAGGAGCAATTTAAACACCTTTCTGAGCACGACTGACGAAGGTTTCTTAATGTTAAATCAAGATTTTCCTCGATGGCGTGTTAACTTCGACATCTGACATCTCCGCAATTCATGTAGCCCCCTACCTACAAAGGTACTCTACCTTTTTGTCTATTCCCAAACCAATCCTAATATATAAGGAGGCGGGGATTTTTTCTGGCATGCCGCAGGGTTGACCTTCTCGTCCGTACATCAACAAATCTCAAGCCAATCAATATCTTGCACCATTCTCTGACAACATTCCTTAACGATGAAATTGTCTTCCCCCGCACTTGTGGTTCTGGCGCTTCTTCGCTATTCCTCTGGGTTTGTCATGAATGTATACGAACATGACGATTGCACAGGAAAAATGCAAGAAGTCAACATCTGGGACAACACATGTGCATCATGGACAATTCCCTTCAACTCTGTCATGCTTATCAAGGACGGAACATGGAAGCAAAAGGCTCGTTTCTGTCCTGGCAAGATGTGCCTGTGGGGATGCCAGAAAGCCTGGGCTGTAAGTCCCCGTCTGATCTTCCGACTCCAACTCCCCACCCAATTTGCCAAATTTACTCATCGCTAATCA